AGCAAGACATTCCCTGGGAAATATCCCACCTTCTGACTCCAGCACCTCAAACAAGCTTCACAATCATCACTGCTGTGTACAGTATTCTAATTGTTTGTTTAACTACTTATACTTGTGTGTGTGTGTATATATATATATATATAGAGAGAGAGAGAGAGAGAGTCTTTTGTCTGGCAAAATAAATTTCCCTGGAACCTAACCCCCCTTATTTACATTAATTCTTATGGGGAAATTGGATTCGCTTAACATCGTTTCACTTAAAGAAGCACTTTTCAGTTACATAACTACAACATTAAGCGAAGAGTTTCTGTATCTATCTATTTATCTATTCATCCCCATACTCTCTCTCTGTCTCTCTCTCCTTCTCTCCATACCTCCCCCCCTCTATCTATCTCTGTATACCACAATGTAGCTATTTAAATATCAAGAGACCTCCTTCTCCATTAGGGGCTCCCAGCACTCCAACTGTTGTTGTGAATGCTTTTATACACTCAACACACACGCTTATCTTTTGAAGGTCAATGACTGTCAAAGTCATGCCGTTATGGAGGAGGGTCTGTCTGCTCCATTGTCTGTCAGGAGCAGGTAATCTATGCCATGGTTTAGCTGCCATGGGTTATTTCCCAGCCTTTCATTCCCAAATCATGGCCACCCAACATGGCTGTATGACTGGCAACAGTATGGCTGCCCACTAGCAGGCAAACATGCCCATCCAATATGGCGGCTCACACTCAGCAAAATGGCTAGTAAATATGGCCAGTCAACTGGCAACAACTTTGCTGCCCAATATGGCAGCCCAAATACTAACATGCCCATCCAAAATGGCTGCTCATACTCGACAAAATAAACATGGCCGCCCAACTGGCAACAATATGGTCACCCAAGTTACTGCCCAACTACTAAAATAGCCACCCAACATAGCTTTTCAACTGCCAACATGGCAATCCAACATTCCTACCCAACTGAAAAGAGCCTAATTGCCCAAACATAAGTGCCAACATGGCCACCAGTATGGTTGTCCAATGAAAACCAAGACCCATAGGGTTCCAGGAGCATGGATGCCCAAAATGGTAACCCAATGGCTAGCAACACCCCAGGGCAGTTTTCCAGCTCCAACAACTTGTCCGAAGTCCTGGAGGGAGGGAAGATGCATCCGTTCTATTCTCTGAACCACATTTCCACTTTCCTCCATCTCCTGCCCTGGCTGACCCCCACCCTTTGCTGCCCCCTTCAGACCCCCCTCCAGAGCCAACGCTGAGTGTGGATCCCCCATCTGGAGTGGTGAGCGAAGGGCACCCCCTGCTCATCACCTGCACGGCCCCCGGGAATGCCACACAGCTGAGGTTTCACTTCTACCAGGATGGAGCCGAGATTGTCCCTGGGGACGTTGGGTCTGAGATCAGCACCATGGAGCCCAGGACCAGCTCAATGACAGTCTCTGAGCTCAGCATCCCACAGGTTGACACCAACAGCACCGGGGAATACACCTGCCGGTATGAGGAGAAAGAGAGTGGGAGATGGATCATGTCCACCAAGAGCCACGCTGTGACTGTTACCTTGAAAGGTGAGGCTGCCCTAGAGAATAAAATCCACCCCTACATACAATCACCACTTCCTACAGCATGGATACACACACACACACACTCACACACAAAGAGAGCAACCAACAACTCAGTAAGGCAACAAAGCATTCAGCTCTCAAACACTACCACCCAGCATGGCCGCCCCTTCCCCAACTCTCGCCCTCTGCTGCCCCCAGTGCCCATTGTACAATACAGCCGTCCCTTCCCCACCCCGACCCTCTGCTGCACCTAGTGCCCATTATACAGTATAGCCACCCTCCCCCACCCCCCCCCTCTGCTTCCCC